TCTCCCCCTGCTTCCGCGTCCCCACGCAGAGCAAACGGTTTAAAACAGTCCACACGATGGTGCATGCCACCAAACTTCCTGGTATCTCTAGCCCCAGTCAAACCCGTTACGGCGGCGACATCCAGAATGGCAGACGTTTCCTGGTGGATACTGGCGCTCAGCTAAGTGTTATTCCTCCTTTAGCAGCCGACCGTCGGTGCCGCAACCCCATCCCCATTCAGGCCGTTTACACCTCGCCAGCTGCCACCTTCAACACCTGCTCTCTCTCTCTCACTGAACATCGGCCACCGATGTCACTTACCTCGGGTTTTTGTCGTTGTTGAAGTGCCCTCAGTCATTCTTAATGCTGCCTCGATTTCATGGTGAGATATTTCTTTATTGTTATTAGTAGATAGAGTACAAAACACTTTACAAAGTATTTCAACGTTCAACATATCCAATTAAAGAAAAATTTCAAGTCAATTGGGACTTAAATCAGTTCAAAGGCAAACTGCCCTAACGTGTTCCTGCAAACGCTGTCCGGTTCAGGACCAATCAGGGCCATCCAAGAAGACCAATCAATGCCGAGATCGGTTTGGCTGCGGTGCCGGTACCATTTTCTCCCTGGCTGAATGTCCGACTGCATCTACCTCCAACCGGTTCTTCAATCTTATTGTACAGGATAAACTAGGTGAGCTAAATCGTGCAAACCCTTAGTCAAAAGCCGAGTTGGTAGTCTAGCATATTTTTGATTTCGCTCGTTTGGTCTGACGAATGCATCTGATCCTCAGTCAGTCTATAGTAAGGTAATCTGCAGGTTTAATTCAACTAAGCTGATAGAATTTAGGCGAAATAGGAGATTGACGGATAGCAAGCACACGCAACGTTATTCAGTGTGAAGGAATTAAGCATTTTGTTTTTGCGCGTTTTGCTCTAGGGACCGCCACTACTAGGGCGGGATTTTTAAAAGGGATCTCTTCCCGAACCGGAAGCTATAATTGCAGGTTTATGAAAGGTTTAGGAAATCACATTGTTTTTCAGAGAAAAGGTGAAAATGCAGCTTTGAAAATGATTTCTTGCCGATGTGTGAAATTAGTTGTAGCAAAATGCAATAAAATAAATTTTGACGGCGTTCTGTTTTACCGCATCTAAAATTTCGGACCATAAGCAAAACGCATTTATGTTATTGTGTAAACAGAAATAGAGCGCAATCTTTGTAAATTTTAGTATATATCTGGTCACTTTTATTTGGCAGTGGCAATCTTAGAACGGGACATAAAATTAATGATACTTTTTAATGTATGGTGCAGACTGCTTCAATATAAAGCGCAAGCTTGCGTTACTTTCATTTCAGCTGAAGTGGATTCGGGTAAAGTAAAAAACGAGTCAAAAGTCTTCGTCTGATTTTCACTTGGAAAATAATTGCGTGTACGGATATTCGTTAGCTGAGTAGCTAATTAAAGCGGTTTGGAAGAGGGAACCTATTATAAAAAAAGTTTTTTGGGCGTTTTGGCGTTTCGAAGAGTTTATATCTTAATGTCCCGCATGGCCATATTCATAAGAACTTATGTTCAAAAGGTCCATTTTTTATAACTGGTTTTAAGAAATATCTCATTTCGACAGTTATAAAAGGAAGCTTGAGAACAAGGAACATCTTAGCGTATTTGCCAAATTTTTAAGGACGATCTAGAATAAATTGTAATTCAATAACTGAGATATGTAAGTTTGAGGATATAAAACTACTTTTAATTTAGGGAAAATAGTATAGTTACCACTTCACCTAACAATTAATTTTACAGAATTTTCTCCCGGATATAAATTTGAAGCAGGCCAAAACAGAAGAATTTATTTGCGCAAATAAATTCTGCTGTTTTGGCCTGTTTCAAATTAACTTTACATTTATTGGTCGAACGTTTAGAAACTTTTCACCCGTTTGAAACTTGGGGCTTCCATAACTAGTTGGCATTCCTAAGCAAATAACCAATGCTTTTCATATTTCCTTCAATTCTAATGGCACTAATGGCAATATGGGGAGACGAGTGGGTCCTCTGACAGATCGGTGTACTCGTCTATGCCACTGCATAAGGTTGTTTATTGCTACTTTAACATTTTGTAGGTACGTTAATGCCGGCTTGGAAGCAATTATCAATCTCTCGCAGCTGCCTGCCTTTGCAAGAGGTTCAGCATGGACTGTAAATGCATCGAAAAGTCCGCATCTTAGCGTGTTTCAAGCAGGATTGCCTTACGCCACACGATGCCGATCGATATTGCAACATCACTTAAGCAATTCTTCCTTATTCAAAAACTGCACCTCAGCATTTATGATAACACCCCATGAGATCGTTCGTTGACTGTAGTCGCTTGCGTCAGTGTGACTACAACCAATGGATGCAGCCGGAAATATCGATTAGCGTTACAGCGTCGGCTGAATCACGGGCGTGCACGGGTAGGCACAAACGCACTGCTTGACAGGCCTGTTATACACACCCCTGAAGGCCGTGAGCGTGGGTTGCTCCAGCTCTACCTGGCATCAGCATGCTACCGAAACAACGCTAGGCTTGCCAGCCTACACGCCAAGAAGTTCTTGGGAATTTTGCACATTCAGCGCCAT